GCCATGCACCAGATCACGAGGTTGGTATGACTATCATCTAAAATTCAGCCTAAAGCTAAGCTTGAAACTTCTCATATTATGGGAGTTGCTCCCATATTCCACTTCTCCTCTTTCACTCTCCTTTTTAAGGAGGAGAAATTCACACAAATTACCTTAAGCATTGGAAGATTTAGGGCAAGAATGCCCAGAGAAACAAGACAAAAACAAATAGAGACCACAGAGGTTAAGAAAGATTGAACAACTAGACCTCGTCTTGGCTTGCATGAGAACTCCATAGGTGGCCATTCTAAGCACGGCCGTAACTAGGATATTCTCTGTTCTCTGATCTTCTGACTTCTTAGCTTTATGCCATCGCTGTCAGTTCCCAACTGTGAAATACATACATTCCTATAAATAGGTAGGTAGCTCATTAGAAAGATAGAGTCGGTCCTAGGTCAAGATACTCAAAAAAGGAAATCTACTTGACAGCAAACCATCCTGATCTCTGTATGGATGAGAGATCAGACGACTCTGAGCCCAGTCTAGCCTATACCAGTCCCCATGTGGGCACATGAGTATGACGCATAGACCCTCCTCTACGGAACTCTCTAGGTCTGCTTCCTTAGCAGGTTGGGGAAAAGGGCTATGGGAGTGGCTGGCACCATACCAGGAGTGCCCTGGCTATTCCCTCAGCTACACTTGTCATTATTAAATCTTATTTTAGCCGCCGCCTATACGCTTTGCCCATCCTCTATCATAAACACAGTCAGGTCAAAGGTGGTTCTCTCTTCTCTTCACTCTGCCTCTGCCCTCTTCACCCCTTCCCATCCATATCTCCGAATGAAGAGTACAGTGCAGGGGTCTGGCTGACATCTAATAAGCATGAACTAATGAATCAAAAACCCCACGCCACCTGATCCCTGGGTCTTAAGGGAAAATAGAGGGCTGGAGCTGAATATGTGGCCAGTCCCTTTCCTATTAATTTCCCAGCTCCTCTGTGAGTTATGCTCTGTCGGCTCCACCGGGTGACACGAACATGACAGATGGTACTCTCAAGCCCAAGGAGTTTATTCTGCACCACAGCGAGGCTGTATTTTTTGCTATAAAACTCTTATAAATCAATGTGATGCATTTTGGGCAAGAATATTGTGACATAAGAGAGATAAATGCTATTTCATACACGTAAACAGCTGAAATTTGTGGAGAGTAAGAGTAGAGATTCATGTATATCAGTGAACCATAAATAGACATATCATTTGGAGATTTTGATATAAGTATGCAGCAATAATAAAAAGAGCTTATTTTGGCTTTTTATAAAATCAAGATTTTTATCTGATAGAAGAATATACATAGTTAAATTGAAATTTTGAAATTTCATGTATCAAAATAATTTAAGTAACTTGAAATCGAAAGTGCTATGATAATCTAAGAAAAGTGATTGTAGCTAGAATAGAACTAAACAAGCATGAATGGATTTCTCAATAAATTGATAGGTTCAAAGAATTACTACTAAGATAAGTATGGAAACACCCAGGGGAAGAATATCAGCATTACGATGGCAATAAGCCTAAACTGGAAAGAAAATAAATGAGTAGGTATAGAAAAGATCAAGACTGTGATACTTGTAACACTAGAAATGCAGTTAGTCTTCAGCACACTAGTTTTGTGGAAATCTTGTATCTTTGAATAGGAGAAAAAACCGTGACCTTTACAACTTTTTCTTCTACATTTTGAAAAGGTTTTCCTTATTATAAATAATACATAGTCATCATAGAACATGTATCTGTATATATGTCAAAGTAAGGTTCGATGACAATCTATAATCATCTTTAGTCCAGAAATGTACTTCTATCATAAACATTTCTTACTTAATAAACTGAAAGTCATTCAGGATTCATTCATTTACTTAATAAAATGAAAATCTTTCCATTAAATTACAAATTCTCTTATACTATTATAAAGGCCTATAATAAAATCAAATCCTGGATCATCCAGTCTGGCATTTCTAGCAGTTATTAAATAATCTCCGTAAGTGCTTGTGAGCCTTTTCCATGACCACTTCAGTGACGGGCACATCATCACCTTCATCTCTGCTGAGAAATCTCTTCAATTGCTCAGATGCTCTAATTATGAGAAGTCCTCCCCGTCCTCAGTTTTGTCCCCCTCCTTTAGCTTCTCCCTGGAATAGCACTGCGTTTGGCATCATTTCAACTTCTCCTCATCCTTTAGCACCATAAGCATAACTAGATCATGCTGCTTTACTACACAAACTTTACCTATAAAATGAGGCTGATAATATTTGCCCTGTCCTCTTCATAGGGTTGTTTAAAGATTCAAATAAGAAAAGGACAATACATCTGAAGCATATATGGATGTTCAACGTATTTCCTCTACCACATTTATTATTTGAAAAGTGTTATCAGCTTTACCCCAGATCCCTTCTAAAAGACAAACTGCTCAGTTCTCTCTACCATCTCTTTATAAATTATAGTATCCAGAATCATTGTCTTATCTATTCCTTTGGATACACACCCATTTACAAATGTCTCCTGTAAAAAGTACCACATGGAAAGAAACAGGGTGATTCTGATGTGGCTGAATGAATGGGTGGGGATAAAAATAGGATTGTTCTGCTGTTGATTTGCAGGGCAGGCCAGGACTGAACAAGCTGCGATGCAAACATTTTTCGTACTACCACTGTTTACAGTTTTGTAAAGGGCTAACCGAACTACAGCATTTGAGAAATGTCTCTGGAAATAAAACTTTTAAAAAGTAGCCAAAATGATCAAAAGGATAAATGTAGAAGTATAAATTCTAATGTTCATTTTCTCCTTCATCACACAGCTGATTGAGAACCAGAGGTAACTCCTTATTCATCCAGGTTTGTTCTTCCTCAGCTGAAAAAAAGAGGGCTTGAATTATTGCCTTAAATGAAGTTTAAGATTTATCTGTGACTTTAAATTATCCATGATTTTAGTTACACTGTCTCTCCAGTGATATAAAGAGCTACAATGAGCCCCCAAAATAACAAGCAGAAAATATATCCACCTGCTTGTTTTCATTGGTTACTTTTTTTTTTTTCCTAGAAAGGCATTTCGAGGAAAGTACACATTTTTGGCCATTTAACTGAACATAGAATCTGTCCTGAAATACGGTGTAAAATGAATATTTATCACTTTGGCTGGATGATTTCATGAATTGTTAGGTCTCTGTGCAAATGCAGGCAGAAATCAGAATCTGCTTGTATTAACACTACTTTTTTTGAGTTCAGTAGTTTGTATAGAAAGGTAATCTCAAAAAAGATAAGAAGGAAAACAGTCATCCAGCCTCCCAGCTCTGTTTGCTATCTACCTTCATAACCTAAGGCAAGACACTTTATCATTCTCCAACTCTGTTTCTACACCTGGAAAATCTGTCTCCTTTCTTCCGAAGACTGCTGAGACCTTGAGAGGAAATGCGCTCCACACATTCAAGGATTTATGACTGTGTTTTTGTTGTTGTTGTTGTTGTGTTTGTTTTTTTACTGCCTACCTAAAGAAAGGGGATGGATTGGAGTTGTTCAAATAATAAGGATATGCCACTTCAAGTGGGATTGTGGTTGGCGGAAACCAAGAGCCAAATGTGGTTTTGTTTTGTATTTTTTGTCAATTTCAGTTGATTTCAGGTTGGCTCACTCTGAAAATATGTTTCATTTCAGAATTCCTGGAATGTGCCCAAGGAAGAAAAGCAAGCAGGTAGGCTGTTTGGTGCTAATAAATTTCGAAAACTAGTAAGTTTTGTCCTGTGATTTTTATAACAAAATGTATGATGAGTTGAACTGGTATCAGAATATCAAATCCCAAATCGTAAACAAAAAAGATTATATTGAAGAAAATTTTTTCAAGTCAAAAATCAAAATCGAGATCACTGATTTCAGGAGCAATGACTTCTTGTCAAGCGTAACTGTTTTCATTAAAATTTCCATAAGCACCGGTGAAAATGATTTGGGGGAAAAGACTAAAGAAGGATCTGTTTTATAAAACACGGGGAAACATTATTTTATTCCTAATTTTCCGAGCCAAGTTTGTAGGATTGAAGATATTTCTTGGGCTTTTTCTCTCAGGGGTCAAAGGCTTATCTCTATTGACATATACCCAGGAATGGGTATATTTTTATATTAAAATTAGATTAATTTTTAAAATTAAAAATAAAAATAAAATTTGATTAAAATTTTTAACCCAGGAAACTTTATCAGGCTTCTTTGGCTAGTGACTCACACCAGGTCTCAATCTTCAGGCTACCAGTGGGGAGAAGACCAAAGAAATGATGAGAAGAGGGAGCTCACAGGCATCGCGGGAGCCTTCTAATGTAACCCCCGGAGCCCACGCAGCACGGGGATTGGTCTGACGTCATTGCTCCCCATTCTCTGGATGCTGGAGCCTGAATTGCATTAGAGACCTCTGCATTCAATAAACAAAAATAGGAATATGACGACCAAAGCGCTGTTTGGAACAGCCAACTCAGGCAATGAGTATTTCCACTGAATTCATTCAAGATTTTATTAGTCGAGCTCAAACTTAGGTTATGAGGCTCAGTTTGCTTTTAATTTCACTGGCCTCAGTTATTCAAAACAATAGGAGAAGAGGGAGGGGGGACAGACAGAAAGAGAGAGAGAGAGAGAGCGCGAGCAGACGTATTACACACATGCTTTGTACATTCCTTACATTGCAAACCCATCAACAAAAGAAGGAAGAAGATCTGAGGCAAATGAGTGGTTTTGCGAATTTAGGGGATGGAGAGTTTCTCTGCATAAACAAGAAGCTTTGGATTGGAAGTCTGCTTAAAGAAAAAAAAAGGTTACAGCTGACCACAAGGTTGTAAATCCACAGACTGGAAGGAGGAAAAGAGAAACATTGCAAGCGACTGAAGTGTGTGTGGCTGCAATGTTTGTGGGTTAGATGAGAAACAAGCGCTGAGTGAAACGGAGAAGGGGGGTGGCTGGTGTGATTTGTTTGGTGTTCAGAGCCAATAGAAATCCCAGACTGTGATAATATCCCCGTGCAGCGCCGAGAGAGGAGTCACAGCTGAGTCTGCGGCTGGCTTCCCTGTGCAGGCGCTGCCGCCGACCGCCCGGGGCTGCACACGCCAGCGCGCGGCGCTTCTGCGCTTCGGCTGGGGTCCTGCTGTCGCGGACTGTAGCGCCCCGAGAAAGAGGGACGGGGAGAGACAGAGAGAAGGGACCGAGGAGGAGGCTTCCATCACGTCATTGCAGGTATGAGCTTGCCGCGACTCCTCTGACACAGGCACGGTTTCTGATTTCTACCTTCACAAGACACTTACAAGTAATTGACGTTGTTCCATTGCCGGTCCGAATGGAAAGTGCTGAGTGAATGTGTCGCCAGAGTCACTAGATAATTCGGGCTGTTTGCCTGCGTTTTGGGGCCACAAGGTTTATTCACATTTTGAATTATCCATGGGTGTAAAGCAAGGACCTTCAAACTTGACTGTTCGCCTTTTTTTTTTTTTAAATAACCTCAATACCTGCATGCTGTCATGTTATCCATTTATACTTCTTGGTCAGCTCCTTTATAGTTATGACCTATAGCAAGGCAGACACCATGTGATTGTTAGAAAGCAGCTTTGAACATTTCCCACCTACCTACCTGGTGACTGTCCTCCCTGCGGGCGTGGAAGCTACGGTGGACGTGGGCATGGTTTTGATCTTTAAAGCATGAGGCCAGGGTGGACTAGGCTCATGAGTGACATATCACTGGATCACTGTGCTCTGGTTGAAGCAGAAGAAGAGAGGAGGGAGAGCGATTTTTAAAATGCAGTTGTCAGGGACTCTTGTTGTGTACCTGGTTTATTTTTACATTGCCGTAGCAGTTGAAAATGCAGTTGTAATTTTGCACGGGCAAGCTGGATGAGTCCCAGGACCTCATATGTAACTACACTGAAAAGTCATGAATTGGAACGCTGTCTTAAGTATACCTGTAAGGAAATGTTAGTTTTGGGGTTGATTTTTGTTTGATCCTAAACTTGGTAGACGTCTGGCCATTTCTTTCTTGTCCTCTCTTGATTCCTTTTATTTTTGAGATGCTAGTTTTATTTTTTTTTAACCTATTTCCTGAGATTTTACCATGTTTGGCTTTGAATTTTGAAGATGGTTATATAACCTTCCTCCCCGACCCCCCCGCCCTGTTGATTACTTGTGATTAAATTGACATTGCTTAATGAGTTCAGTCTTTCCCTTGGAAGAGCCAGAGGGGGCTTCATGGAAGGCTCAGTTAAAAGATTAGTCTTGTTTTGGGCCATCCTCAAGTACTGGTGTATAACTGCTCTCAATTTCTATAGGAAGAGCTTTCCCTGCAGTGAAGAACAGACACAGGTTGGGACTCAAGTTCAACAAGAGCATGACACTGCAGCAGGTGCAGGAGCAGTAGAATATGTTGTTTTAAGTCCAAATAGCATCTTGTCAGTGGATTCAGAGTAGGTCATATCCAGCCATCCACTGATAACTCACAGTCAGTCTTGCAGTGAGTCTTGCCTGGTTGACAGGGCGGTGCTTATCACAAGGCGTGTGCCTCACCAAGAAAGATAAGAAAGTTATAAGAAAGGTATTTGTTTTCCGTATCGCAGTGGAGAATTTACATTGCCCTGGTTTTAATTGGATGAACATGTTCTCTTGTCATTAAGGGAAATTCATGTTTGCCTATACCATGGAGTAATATAAATAATATAAACTGTCTATATTTTTGCCCATTCCCAGATTTGAATGTTTTAACAAGGTGTTTTTGGAAGCATCTCAAAGAATAGATACGGCAACTAAATACTATATTTAGGAGAGAGCATTTTGATTTTATAGATAAATATTTTTCTCTTTTTACATCATAAGGAACTTGATGTGAAGAATTTACCTATTCAAATGAATACAAATTAACTGAACCAACTAAATACATTCTATTTGTAGTTGGAAGGGTAGCTTTGTATCACTGTCAACATTTGTCGATATTCTCTAAATATAATATCTGAAGTAAAGGGAGACCCATTTCCCTTTTACCACTCAAACTCGAAAACAACGTTGGGCATGTTGTTAGCAACTGAGTGAATGAGACACCGAATATACGGACTTCGCATGCACTGAGAGACATCAATGGATTTTTAAAGACAACTATAAACAATGCTTTGACTACTTGTTTTGTTCTATCATTCTTCACTGAGAGAGGAAATCAAACGTTCCTTCCCTCTGATCTTAGCCCAGCCAACCAGAGCTTCAGACCCCCTTGAGTTACAAGTCTGGGAACCTCTGAACAAGGTACATGCCTTTGAATCTCCTTAAAGTGAGCACCTCTTCCTTAGCCCTCTTCTTCTACAGGAATGGAATCAGACTTTGAGTCCTCGTTGATATGGAGAGGACTGGCCAGCCTGGGTCAAGCACACACGCTGAGAGGCTGCAGAGACACAGGCGCAGGAAAAGATCAGACTGGTCCCAGCTGTACCTGGGTGTGGCTGCAGCTAAGGCACCAGGTGGCATTTTCTCAGTGTCAGGGACCTTTAAGTATTTAGGAGAAAAGTAACAAATTGTTTCAACTAAGGAAATGTGCCAAGCACTGGGCTTGAAGCAAGCCACACAAAGAACCAATAAAAGAGAAGTATTGATTTGGAGAGAAAAGTAAGCCATTATAAGTTAAGCCTCTGGTGCCATCTGCTTCTCTGTTTGCTTAGCTATTTCTACTGCAGTGTACTGGGTTTTTGGGGTTTTGGTTTTGTTGGGGGTTTTTGGGGGGTTTGTTTGTTTATATAAATTGGATATGCTGACCTATGATGTGTAGAATTAATTTTGATCACATGTGAGGCTAAAACAGGGCCCTCACACCGTGAATCTAAATGCAGATATTTCCTAGTGCCACCGCTTCTAGTTGGGAGGATATCTTCGATTGGCTTGCTCAGCCCTCGGGCCCTGCTGGGGTGGAGCACACTGCTTTGCAGAGTCCCAGAGCCATGTGGCAGTAAGAAAATACACAGTGACAGGAGGAAATGACAAACATATAAAGTGAGCTGATATAAAGATTGGCATCCTCAGGCATAAATCCAGGAGCCAAAAGAGTAAGAGTTTATTTCCTCAAGTAAGCTGCAGGTATAAACTTACAGTAAGATTTCCGGAGCATTTTAAACAAATTCTCATGCATACATACATGTCTCTTGCAGGTGTGGGGTGAAAATAAATTTGTCTGTCCTGCGGCTAGCAGTCCCGGACACACAGGCCAGGAGGGGGCAGTATGCAGACTCTGAAAAGCCGAGCCGCCTCTTGACCAGGGGGAGGCTTCGGTCTCCCCATGGCTCCACAAATGTCTCCCTAACTTTCTGCACCTTCCTCCCTCTGGAAGCAGAGTCTGGAGTCTTATTAAGGGCTACACCATTCAGAAAGCTTTGTTTTTATGTTTACTTCCAGACGTGGCATTGCCCGGCAAAGTAAGGAAATCAGCATTTTTAACAGAGCTCAATTTCCTTTTCTTTTCATTAGCTTCACTCTTTGAAGCTATTTAAGCAGTCTTTTTTTTTAAATTTTTAAATTTATTTTAGAGAGGAAAGGAAGGGGGAGCGGGGAGAGAGAGAGAGAGATAGGCAGAGAGGCAGGGAGGCAGAGGGAAACATTGACTTGTTGTTCCACTTACTTATGCATTCATTGGTTGCTTGTTGTATGTGCCCTGATGGGAAATTAAACCCATGACCTTGGCGTGTTGGGACTATGCTCTAAACGACTGAGCTACTTGGGCAGGACCACTCAAGCTGTCTTTATCTTTACTCTGTCAGGAATTGGGTGGGAGAAAGGGAAACAAGATTCAGAGAAAAGAGGAAAAGAAAGAATGGGGTTTCTTGAGTTCATTCACCAGGGAAAATGTTTATGAGCTGCTTCATGCATGGAACTAGTTTTCATGTTCAGCATGTCTCAAATGTAAGTTCCAGGCCACAGGATACATTTTATACACTGACAGGCAATAGGACCTCCAGAATCCTAGCAGAAGAGCTGGAATAGCTCCTCTTCGTGGTATCAAGGATCTAACACATGCACTCAAAAATAAGAACTATACACCTACCTTCCAGTGGTTCAGAGATGGTCAGATCTAATGCATTATAAACCTAGCCCATCCTTTTTTAACAAGGTGTTTCCTTGTCCTGTTGGTACCATCGTAGATCAGTCCTATTCTAAAGTCATACGATAAGTGTGCACAGAAGAAAGAAATAATCACTCTCGAAGTGGGCTCCCGGCAGTGATATTTCTGTAGGGCTAACCCTGATTTAGCTAGGTTGGCGATTTTACCCTCAGGACACCCTTTGCCACCTTTGATTCGAATGTCACACAAGTCGCTACTAATCAGGAGGGTCCTAGGAGAAAGCTCAGAGAGGGACTTGGAAAATGTCAAAGAGCCTCAGAATAAAGGCATCTTGGGTGGAAAAGGCTGAGAGGAAAAGACAGAAGGGACATCCGTCTGAGGATAGGCACCTGAGGGGGGAGTCACAGCAGCTGTGTCAGGAAAGACTGATCCCGAAGCCCCAGCGGTTTTGGATCCTAGAAGGGCCAGGACCTGCCCACCGAGGGCTCAGGGCTCTGGGTGACTGAATGAGCCTAGGATACTCCGGTTGCCACTTTTCTGTGGTGCCCCTGTACTCTGCTAGGAGGTGTGATGTCCTTGAATCTAAGCAAAAAGTTTTTTCCAAGGACAAAATAAAGACTTGTTGGTGTTGGCAGAAAAGGGAGGTGGTTGTGTTGTCTTCCTCAGTCTCAGTGAGATTAGCCTCTGCGGCACCCTGTTTACTGCCTGCCCCTTCGTAGTGCCGTGGTGTCGGAAAGCTTGGGTGCCAGGGGAGGATGCATCCAGGGTCACTCTGGAACGAGACACAGGACTGTAGTAGAAAGGTGTCAGCTAATGAGAGGGAGCAATAAATCCTAGAGGCTGAGGTGCGGGGATAATAAGATTGATCCCCAAAGTCTAAGACCAAGAATCTCCACTGTTGTTCTTCAGGGTTTTTAAAAAAGAATTTTATTTATTTTTAGACAGAGGGGAAGGGAGGGAGAAAGAGAGGGAGAGAAACATCAATGTGTGGTTGCATCTTGTGCGCCCCCTGCTGGGGACCTGGCCTGCAACCCAGGCATGTGCCCTGACTGGGAATCGAACCGATGACCCTTTGGTTCGCAGGCTGGCAATCCACTGAGCCTCACCAGCTAGGGCTGTTTTTCAGTTTTTAATGTGGCCCTTCCCAGATAAGCCC